GGACGGCGGAGCCCGGGCGGCTGGTGCAGTGACAACGTCTGGTCCGCCACCCGCCACGGCGGGGTGTCCGCAGGGGTGCGCGCGGGGGCGCCCCCGAGCGCTGGCCCCCAGAAGAACCCCAGCCTCCTGCGTCCCAGTAAGTTGACTTTAGTTTCTGAAGTTGGAGGGAGCTGTGGGAAGGATAGGTTCGTTTTTATTATCTTCATTTAAAAACGACAACAAAACCAAACAACAATATCTTCGTGGCACCTTTTCGTAGCAAGGTTCCCCTGGGGAACGGAGATCAGGGGTGCCAAGAAGCGGCACCGTAAGCCAGGAGTGGCTGGATCCAGCCTCAGAGGAAGGAGCCAGTTGACAGTAGTGAGAGAAGACACCCTTCCCAGGACACTTCACCTGCTGCCAATTGCACATTCCGAGCGCTCTGGCCCTGGGAGGACAGGGATGCCCCGCGAGGGATCGCCACCTCGCCCCGGAGTCCTCACGGGAGAGACTCCCTTGGGGTAGCCCTGGCTGGCCAGCACTGCGATGGGTCTTTGGGGAGTCGAAGCTAAGGCATTCTTCCTCAGGCCTGTGAGGCTTCCCATGCATCCCACCTACTCTTGTAGGCAGAAGTTGCCAACCTTACCATCATTGGGGGGAGCGGACACCACTTACATGCTAATCGAGTGTTTTGTGAGGGAGGACGTTCTGCGCGTGTGATTTCATGTGCTTTGAGAATATGGACAAGTCTCAGATAACTAAGATTCCCATGATGGCACTTGGGTTTCACTCGGATTGTCCATCCTGCATCTCTTATGTAAGCCTCCCAGGCCGGGTAACTTGGCCTCTGCAGTGGCTGCAGCTGTGCCTCTCCGGTTCCATTTGTGTAAAGTCCGGCTTGAACAGTATTTAATGAAAATGCTGACATGATATAGCCGCCTGTAGTCAGAAACAGAATGCACTCTTCAAAGTGGAGTGTCTTCCCTTAACCGGGAGCATGGAGGAAGATCCCAGTATATTTTCAAGGCAGCTCAAGGAATTAGACCCATAAATCATGTTTTAAAATAGCATGCATTGTGCCCAGAGCATACAGGGGACCCTTTTGCAAACACATCCTCTTTGTTTCAGAGAAAAGTGGAAATTGTGTGTGCCAGACAATTGTTGAGTCTGAAAGTTAAGTGTACTGATGGGTTTAATTATCTTAATAAACAAAGGGCATGATTTATAGGTCACTGCAGTGGCCTACTTTGAAGGATAGGAATCTTTAACCTTTCTTCCTTAGCTGCCCCCTAGAGATTTCTTTTAGGCAGAGCAATAGATTACCATCATTGATATTATTAATATTTGAGGTGATTAAATTTGTGAAAAGAATAGTTTGAAATACCCTGTACGACCACGGTGTGGCTATTAGACAGTGAATGTTAAAAATAAGGGAATATTTGGAATAGAAGCCATTAGGTTAACAAAAGAGAATCATGTTAAGACTGCCTGAAATCAGTGTGTGCATATGTGTGTGTATATGTATAGATATGTATATTGTGTATATATGTATATAGATACACAGAACTATGCACAGAGAAAGATATATTAGTAATTGGGACTTGAAATAGTTTCAATCAAAATTCAATGTAAAATTTGTTTAGGCAATCTTTAGAAGCAGAACTGCATTTTTATGACATTCCAGCATACAAAATAAGATGAATTAATTACATATGTCTTATTCAAAATGTAATTTTAAAGAATTCTTAGAAAATAAGAATGTTATAAAATTGAAAGGCTAGTCAACATATTAGTCTGTGAGAGCATCTCTTTCAGAGGTTCCATCACAGCCTGGGTCTCAAAAATGCTAACACCCCAAAGCACTGTTGTGTCATGGTTAGGGGATAGACTGAAGGTGCCTGGCTTCCAGCTCTTGTACTATCTGTTTGAATCTGGGCACATTATCTAAGCTCTGTGCCTCAATCTCTCCATCTGTAAAATGGGGATCCTAGTTGTGTCTACCTTACTGGATTGTGGTAAAGACTAAATGAATTCATGCATGCGAAATTGTTGGGCCAGTGCCTGGCATGACTAAGCCTTCTCTGGGCAAAATTATTATGGTAAAGGAATGCATTTTTGAGTAGTGTAGACATTGAATGGCTGCTTCCAGCCTTAGAAACAATGCCATGGGAAGCAGTTTGGGGGTAGGGGAGTGGGGTTCCATGTTAGCAGGTAATGCTCTGTAACACCTTGAAATTCTCACCTGAATCCCAGAGTTTGAGTGTGATCGACAAGCAATCACTTATGTTATCTCTTTTAAATGTTATCTCTTTTAAATGTTATGTTTCTTTTTATTCTAAAGGTAATGTACAGAGGGGTTTCAGTTACATAGGTCAGGTAATGAGTACATTTCTTTTGGACCAGTGTCACCTCTTCCCTCGTTTTTTCCCTCCTCCTCCCCCTATCCCTCCACAAGTTGTATAGTTCGGTTTCAGCATAGTGTCTAGTGAGTATCACTGCTGTATTTATTCACCCTTTCTCCCACTATTTCTTAAGTTATCCACTAGGTACTAGCTATTGTTCTGCCCCTTGGCAATCTTTCTAGTCTAGATATTAAACTCCAATTGCTGTGGAAAGCACATAGGCAACAGACTGCTCACAGATGGATTTCATGTTTCATGAAACCTCTTAGCTAATATATCTGCAACTGAAAGGTACTTCAAGACAGATGTTTGATATTGGATTTTTTTTTTTAAATCAAACCTCCCTGGGCACCAGATGCTGGTAGCTCATTCCTGTTATTCTAACTACTCAGGAGGCTGAGATCTGAAGACCACAGTTGGAAAGCAGCCTGAGTAGGAAAGTCTATGAGATTCTTATCTCCAATTAACCACCAGAATAGCCAGAATAGTGCAGTGGCTCAAGTGATAGAATGCTAGCCTTGAGCAAAACAGCTCAAGGACAGCATCGAGGCCCTGAGTTAAGTGTCCGGACTGACACTTAAAACAAAAATTTAAAAAAACAACAAAAACTCTTTGGGAATGAGCTTCCAGTAGTCAGCTCCTGTATGCCTAGGGATTTAAAATGAATGCTTTAGTATGCCAAAAAGAGCACTTGCCATCATCTGAGTCATCTCATATCTCTCTGAAATGTTTTCTACTTCCATCTTAGCCCTCCTTTTCAGAGAGCGGATTCTCCCCTTGGCTCAGTCTATAGTTCTATGCCAAATGTTCTTCTGTTCTGGGATTTTTTTGCAGTAAAATTCTCCCTTGAGCTCTTTAGCAGCTTGAGCCAAGTCTGTGATTTACTATTAGCTATGTCTTCTAGGCTTGCATATAGTTGCTTTATTTCCTGTCTGTGTTAACTGTTTAACAGTTTTTCTGATCTACAAAGAACTTACCCTCTGACATCCAGTTTTCTTTTCCTGTCAAAGGATACATGTATAAGAAATGCAAACTAATTTTAATATGGATATAACTAAATGAAGATGATTTACTTTCCCCAGTCATATAAACTATGTTGAATTTTTATATTGGTTTTAGGGAGTTGGGATCTGATATTTCTAGAACTGTTACCTCATACATTATGGGATGCCATACAGTTTCTGGTTACAAAAGCAAGCAATGCATACAACACATCAGGGACTCTGCCTCAAGGTCAAATCATTGTAGAGTTCATGACAATGGAGTGGGTATGAGGAAAGACAGATTTGGCCACATTTCTGCTCCTTAATCATCATGTCTTCTAATAAGAATTGAAATGAATAGCTAACGCTAAAAAACACAGTATTTCCTGTAACTCTCAGATTAACCTTGAGTGCTACTTACTTTAGCATACTCTTTTGCAGAAGTGGAAACTGCAACCAGAAATGTTAGGGCATTTGTCCAAGATCCCAAAGGAGAGTTCCACATAGAATGGAACCCAGAACTCTTGACAAGACTGGTCCTCCTTACACTCTCCTGTCTGGATTTCAAGCCTTTGTCAGAATTAATCTATATTACATTGGTGTACTGCATTATGCTTTTGAAAACTTTCTGGCTCACAGCTGAAACTGACTGTACTATATCCATATCTTTGAGGAGGAAGAACTTTAACTTAGTTTGTGCAAGAGCTCAGGAACCACGTGTCCATTTTGTGAAATAGGAAGCATGAAGCATGTAGCCTTCAGCTACTATGGAACACAGTGCTAAGGTGTGCTCACTTTATCTGGGTTTGGGGTCAGATGTTTACATCTTTTTCTTATAAGAAAGAAGTGGAGAGATCTGAGATTTTTCTCCAATGATTTCTTTTTAAAATGTATGTTGTCATAGGAGTACTATATTATCTGTCACTCACAGTGAATTTTTAAAAGACATGCAAAGCCGGCCCTAGCTACTGTAATCCTAGCTACTAAGGTGGCTGAGATCAGAGAATCATGGTTTGAATTCAGTCTGGACAGAAAAGTTTACTTAACCACCAAAATACCAGAAGTGGAACTGTGGCTCAAGTGGTAGAGTGCCAGCCTTGAACAAAAAACTCGGGAACAGCATCCAGGCCCTGAGTTCAAGCTCTAGTACCAACATGTATGTGGGCATGCATGCATGTATACACCCAAGAATGGTAAAGGAATACACACGGATATATAACAAGTAAGTCTAAAGTGTGTTGTCCCAGAACAAAACATTGTATTCAGCCTTTCATGCCTTCAGTCCAGGTGGAAACCAAAATAACACCATTTAAAGTCATCTTGTAATATTTTCAAAGCCCTTTCTCTGAGCCTTGTCTCTATTTTTTTTTTTTTTGATTTCACACTGGATCCAACATTCGTTCAGGAAGTTCTTCATGCCCCCTGAAGTTTGAATTATAAAATAACTATTATTGTTACATTTTGGCATAATGTTGATGATGCTAGGCACATCGCTGATTATATAACTGTACAATTTCAAACTAGTAAGTGATGAATAACTTACTTTAAAACTCCATTTACTAAATATACACTGTTCATTGCAGGAAATAGGGAGACTTTATTAAATTAAAGCACTTGACACCCTATAAGCATCATGGAGTGAGGCAAAGAAACATGTTTTTAAGTCAAACATGAGCAGCTTTATATCTTTCACTCTAGAGTTTCATAGGTTTCCAGCTGTCTCAGACCAAACTGTCTATAAGATGTTCATTTGGAGGTGACCATCTTTACTT